AATATCCATATGTATCAAACCAAAATAAAAGCTGCACATGATGTACTAATGGGAAAAGTAAGCTTTCTCTATGTTAAGATTCCAACATAAAACCAATTGGTAATATGTGGAGTAGCCTAACATGTATTTAAACCATACCAAATGACATGAGGTAGGCGATGTGGGACTTTCAACACGCCCCCTCCAACGAAGCCTGTCGGACCAGGCAAATGGTACTTTTGACCCAACTAAAGGGCAACTTTTGGCTCATGACAATAACCGGAAAGATGTTAAGCTTTGGCTCTGATACCATGTTAAGATTCCAACATAAAACCAATTGGCAATATGTGGAGTAGCCTAACATGTATTTAAACCATACCAAATGACATGAGGTAGGCGATATGGGACTTTCAACACTCTATTTAGATAAATGACATATATCACAGTGTGAAGTATTAGGAGGAATAACATGAGGAAAATTTTTGTTGAGAATAACCATTCTTTGGCGAGAAGGGTGACCAAGCCGTATATGCCAAATATCTTTATTCACAACACTGTTACAGATTTGTGGAGAGGAGCTTTCTTTGACTTCAGTGTTGCCCCTTATCACATACAGACCCGATTGAAGATCACTTGTACCAATCTTCTTGATGAATGTCTTGTCTTGGATAATACATGCATTAGTGCTAAAGGTAACAGTGCAATCAGAATGAGAAACTAATTTAGAGATAGAAATCAAGTTATATGAAAAAGTGGGAATAAAAAGAACATCTTTTATGTATAAATCTCCAAAGATTTTAGCAATTCATGAATGAGCGGCTTGGACTTTAGTCTCGTCAGGCAAACTAACGTTTATAGGTAAAATTTGTTTGGAAGAAAACAAATTTGAAAGAGAACAACATATGTGATCGGTGGCTCCCGAATCTATAATCCAATCATTATTGCTATTGAAACTAATTAAAGAGACACAAGTGTTTTTACCTTTGTTCATGCTACAATAAACAATAGGACCAACCTGATTGGCGAAACATTATCACTCGCTATTACTATTGGTTTACTTCAGTAAATTTATCAGGGCTTGATACTGTTGTTGTGACAGTTTGAAATCATGATCTTCCCCAACAGACTCATTCTTTGATTCTTGGGTAGTGTCAACGTTATTCATAGTGCTACTCTTGCTATTGGTCTTATATCCAGGAGGAAACTCATGCTTCTTATAACAATTGTCAATGGTATGCCCATTCTGACCGCAAAAGGAACAAACCTTCTTGACATACCTAGTATTCTTACCATCAGTGTTGTTGTTGCTAGGAAACCCATGTTTTCAAAATCAAACAAATTCGGTGTGACCAGTCTTCTTGCAATGACTACAGGTAACAGTGGCACTATTGATCTTAACTTCAGCTCCACTTAAAAAATTGTTTCCCCCAATCTGTCTTTCTTGTTAGACCACGTAGGAAAAGATCTTCGATATAGGCGGAATAGGATCCATCATTAAAATATGTGAGGTGACATTGGCGTATTGCTTGTTCAAACCACTCGAAAGCATAGCATAATCTTCTAATGAAAGACATTAGTCGGATTACAAGAACACTTAGCATAACAATTGAACCAAATCCGAGTAAAAACTCTCTAATTCATCCCAAAGCATGCGTATCTTAGTAAAATATTCGATCACGAAGCACTTCCCTGTTTAAGAGAGGAAGCCTCTGATTGCAACTCAGATATACGAAGTAAATTTCTTTAAAAGAACTTGGATTTGAGATCTTTCTATATATCTTCATAATTGTCCATCCACAATATGCTTTGTCTAATTGAAGGTGAAACAGAATGGGTTAACCAAGATACAACCATGTTATTACACCTCTTCCACGCTTGGTATGTCGGATCAGTCTTGGCTTGTTCAGGAACAGTACCATCAATAAATTCCATCTTATTTTTCGCACTGAGAGCAGTAGCAAACGACTTGCTCTAAGAGTGATAGTTGTGTGATTCCAGAACAAGAGAAACAAGGGAAATCAATGGATTCTCATTGGGATGGAGATAGAGAAAACTATATGGTGCGTTGAAATAATTAATCCCAAATTGTTCTTGGATTCATCTAGTGTGGCTATGGAAAGAAAGGGAAAGAGAAAAAGAAAAAGAAACGAAGCAAGAGAAGAGACGAAACAAGAACATGAAGGAAAGAAAAAAGGAAAAGTCAGAGTGATGATGCGCAGCAAAGTTCTTCAAAAGAAGTGCTCTAATACCATCTTAATAAACCTGGTTGCAGTGCAGAAAAGAATTATTGACCCTTTGCGGAAGCTTAGCCTTGAAGATAGCCATGAGAGAGGGAAAGGAATAAGAGAAAAGAGAGAGTGAAAGAAATGAAAATATTAGATGAAAAACTATGTTTACATAGAAGAGAAAAAAGAGGTATTTATCTTTACCCTAAAACAGTAACCTATTCAAGAACCGAAACTACAATAACTTTTTTACAAATGTTAATCACATGCTTATTTGATTATGACCATTGGATGAAGAACCGCTTTGGTCACTTTGACAAATGCTGAGTGTAGAAATAATTTAATTATAACTGTTGGATGAAACATTATTTGGGTCACTTTGACACAATTAAAATATATAAAGTAGATTGACGATGGTTAAACTCCAAATTATATGTATTTGCAATAGGATTGGGCTGGTTTTGAAGACAAATTGTTCTTTCAATCACTTTTACTTTTCTTAATTAATTTGGTCTAAAATTTAGATCGCAATACCAAAATAAAGTTGTTTCTATTAGACCAATTTAAAAGTTTATATTATTAAAGAAAATATTAAATAGATAGTGAGATATTTACGAGTCCCTGTACAATTAATATAGTATAATTCTTGACATATAAATTATTAAAAAAAATACACAACTTTATAATTATATTTATACATTTTTATTCGTCCTAATATAGATAAAGTTTGTTTATCGAAGACAAGAAAAAGGAAAAAAAAAAAACCAATGCTCACTAATTTAATATTATATTTACCTCAAACTTTAAGCATGAAAACTTAATTTCATATAATAGATTAATTTGTAACCATGAAAAGAAAGTAAAACCTAACGACATGATTATCTTTTTTTTTTATATATATAAATATCAATCATAACACTAAAAAACATATTATATTATTATTTATATTAACTTTATCATAATAATAAAGACTTCATATATCTATATAATAAACTTTCCACCACACAAAATTTCACTTCAATTAATACTTGCTAATTATTATTTTTTTGCTGAAGTTATATATTTTTACCGACTTAATCATTTTTAGGTGGATTTCCATTTGATTTTTCATCATACTTCATCAATATATAACTTTTTCCTCGTTAGTTTGGCTCATAGCAAAAAAGATAGCACAAAGTTTTCACAATCACAACCATTTAAATTCTGCAAAATTAGGATCTATTTCGTCAGCAAAGTATGGAGATACGGGGAATGTAGGCGATAAAGGCAATGCAAGCAACAATGTTATTCGAGATAACGACAGAGAATGATGCGACAGTCAAAAAGGAAAATTACTTTTAAGGAGAAATGATCAAAACAAATGTCCTCTAGTTCACTTTATTATTCTGAAAACAGCAAAACTTTTAAATATGAACATAAAATTTAATAAATAAAGGATTTTGATTAACAAATATCGTTGCGGAATCACTAACTACAATATTTTATTAAAGTACTAGTATATCAATAATCCTTTTATATAAACAAAAAATTATTGTTATTCCTTAATAAATATCATGAAAAGACTTGTTAACTTTTTTCTACATAAAGAACCTTGTGTTACCCAACATAAACATCGAATAGTATTTTTAAGGATACAATTGCAATGATTAAGAATAGTATTCTTAAATGGATTTCAATATTCAAAATATTAATATATGGCAAGACTATTTCGAGAGCAAGAGAAGTTACATTCCCAAACTCAAAACCAACTTTGTATTTACACACTTGGAAATACTTAAATCAGTTCTAACCTTCATCAAACAAGCCTTTTTTTTTTTCCATCTATATCAAATCGAGATCATATGAATCCAAATATATTTGTAGAAGTACTTAACATAAAAGAATTAAATAATTAATTTTGAAATAAAAATTACTTATTTAAAAATAGAGATAAATTATTTTAAAAAAGACAGAAAATTGTTTATTTTTAAAAATCAATAAATTAAGCAAACGCATAAAAAAATAAAAAATGTGCTTATGTTATTTAAAAATGAATTAAAATAAGTGCAAACAAACTAACTTGCATCCTCCAAGAGCTCAACTTCATTACTTTAAGGAGTAGCAGTAATTGTAAGGATTGGGATATGGATTCCATCATATCTGGCTACAGACAGAAGGAACAATAACAAAATTCCTCCTTTTCTTCATTAAACAAAAAAGAAAATATTCATTTCTTCTTTTATTATTTTTTTTTATCTCACTTTATTTTTACTGTTTCTTTTTTTTCTTTTTTATTTGTCTATTTTTTTAGTCCACCCCTGAAATCTTGTCAGAACTCTTAAATGAAAGACAGCTTCTACTGATAGTTAGACAGTGAGGCTTCAATGATATGTAGCAGACTAGCAAGAACTGATTGCTATCATTCTTCCCAAGAGTTAGAGCTCAAGTGGCATAACAAGAACTGGTTGAGGCTAGGATCGAACTTACCCCCACTAACAACAGGTCAGAAATTCCCTTTCTTTCACCAAATATATTAAATATGATTTATCATAGTTTTAACCTGCAATTGTTGTCACAATTATATAATGTTGATGAAATCACGATTGCATTCGTGCCACCAACAAGTAGTTTACTAGTAATATTGAACTCAGTCCTTTTGTTTTGACTAAAGTTTTGTTCCAAAATGTTTTATGGATTCAATTATTACATCAATTTATTATGATTCATGTAAACTTCTGTCAATGCTATGTCTTTTTCACCTTAATGGGGTACATTGGTAATTTTTCTCTAAATAAGAACATTAACCGCATAGACATCCTATTGATTAAACTGTTCTGCATTGGTGATGAGAGAGAATCTGCACCCCAAGGCTAGAAACACCAAAAATGCTACTCTAAACCTCAGGATGCAGACAACCTTGTCTTCACCCAATAGTGTTACTGACTTCACCAAGAAACATTGAACCAGTGAGTGGAATATGTCAAAATGGTCACTTAAACCGATCTGCATTGGTGTTAAAAGAGATAACCTGCATCCAAGGGCCAGACACAATAAAAATATTGCTCTAAACCTCAGGATGCAGATTACCCTTTCCTGACACAATATTCAACTAGTGTGGAACCGCGGTGAAAGTTATCAAGTTGATTAAACTGTTTTGCTAGGAAGAGATAATCTGCATCCCAAGGACTAGGTACAATACAAATTATTATATTGCTCTAAACCTCAGGATGCAGATTAGCCATTCCCTACTAACACTGGCTTTTCCTATAAATATTAAGCTAATGAGAGAGGAAGAAAGAGAGAAGAAGCAAACAATCTACTGAAAGAAGGTCTGTTGTGGGTTGGATTGAATGCCATCATCGTAGGAATTTATATACAGTGGTACTCAAACACTAGAATACAAATCATTCATGATACCTAAGAATCTGTTGCATCCATATGAAGAATTTTCTAGATCTCAGTCCAAAAAGATGATCATGAATGAAATGGAATTTTTTCTCTTCTACGTGTTGTATTCGATAGCAACTCTTATCTCTGATTCATGCCACTTGGTTGTAGATACATGTGTGTTATTAATCTTAATTTCCCAGTTAATGCAGAATTCAAGTTACTTCTCTTCATGCGGAATTCAAGTTAATAATATCCATACAAGTAATCTTAAAATTCATTCTAGTTAAAAAACTTGCAGGACCACCTGAGTTTTGTGCTCACACAAGTCACAATCTAGTGAGTAAAAATAAAATGTAAATTTTCAAGTTAACTGGTGGTTGCAGTATGGATCAAGTAAAGCTATAAAGTCCTTAATTAACATCACTGTCATATTCAGTTTAGGCTTGTTGAACTTTCTTTCTTTTAACTGTGAATTGATGCCACCAGATGAAGAACCAGCAGAGCCATCACCTTGCAAGCCACTGCTAATAAGATTGCCTAGCTTCCTGGAAACTCTTCATTCCACCAGGAATAGATACCACCATTGCCACTGCCAGTTATAAATGTTATCTGTTATATTTATTAACTAAATCTAATACTTTCTAGGGCATGTTCTATACCTCAGGACCATTCAGCGTTATGCTTGAAATTAATTTGAAAGGTATAGAATCTCAATTTGTTGAGGGCAAGATCATAATAATGTAGGTGGACCAATTTGTTCCCGTTTCACTGGTTTACAACAAAATAAAGCAAATTCCTGATATTTAAAACTGAAGCAGCCACTACTATATATTGATGTTAACCTAATGTTAAATACAGACAGTGTTCCAAGTGAAATGAATATTTTGAAGATATAAACAAGCGATAAAAGTACAACAATTCACCCATTGCTGAACCCATTGGGAGTTTAACAATTAAGTAGTTAGACCCTGTTTTGATTTGAAGTAAAGACAAATCATTTTTTTGCATAAACTTTGTTCAAAATTAACAGATCACTAAAGAAGAATGAATGATGCTGAAGAAGATGAGGTCCTCCACATTTCAGTTCTATATCCAGAGTGCAGTTCCTCGTTCAATTGTCCATATTTATCATAAACCTGAATTAATTATAATTTTTATCATACAACTTTATTTGCAGAGATTGTCATGGTGGTGGTGTTTGTTTCATAACAATCATATTTTGTAACAACTTTATCTGGCATTAAACCAAAATAGATTACACACGATAAAAAAATCCTAAATTATACATAATTAGTAAACTTCGATGCTAGAATTTTTCAGTGGAATATATGATCTCATACTGGATAGTACATCAGTTTCTGGCGTGGACCCAACAGAACATTGGTCACTCACATGTCACAGATAATGATGGTTGTTCAAAGTTAAATGATATGAATGCCTAACACACCAACACTTGTACTTCGGCATAAAACTTTTTCCACTTTACTTTTAGGGCTGCTTCGAAAGGATATATATATATATATATATATATATATATATATATATATATATATATATATATATATATATATATATATATATATATATATATATATATATATATATATATATATATAGAATTATAAAATTGTTTTAGAAGCAACATGATTGATAATAAAAGTTACATATTAAGTACATAAAATTTGTGGACAAGAATTTAGAGACTGGGTAAAAAGAATCAAATTAGTCAGATTGTAATTTTTATTGATCATCTCATATCTTTTATTAGTTAGCGTTTGATTAAAGTACAATCTCCAACAGATTGAGAATACAAAAGAGAAGACGAATTAAAAAAGATAGAAGATAAACGAGGCTTATAGCGAAGAGGTCACTAAACACAATTTGAATTCTCATCAAGATAAACTTAATTTTGTTGAGTTCAAATGCACCAAGGACATGCTATTCTTAACGCATTTCTTTCTGTGCTATTGGATGAAAATAATAGAAACCAAATTTTATTTAAGCAAAAGAGATTCGATCTAAACGATGATTTAGTGGTTCTTGCCTTGCATGCATTTTAATAATAGAGTGCTTTAGAATAAAGATGTGACTTAGTCAGATACTAACACTTGCATAACGAAAATATATGATTCACGTATAGGCCAAGATAAATCAAATGCTAACATTGATAGAGTGAGACATTCTTATATAATCTTGTCTCGGAAAAATAATATCTTAACTGTGGAAATTTCTATAACTAAACTATTTCTCTAATCATCCATAACTTTAACCTAAAATTCGATTAGGTACAATTGATGTCACTCGCTAGATTATAACTACCTATACAGAGACAAAAATGTGCCCATGGCTACGACCTCCACCACAAATTTCCTTCTGAAGGATACAAATATAATGATGAATCATCACATAGGATAGAAATAGCGAATCCTAACTTTGAATGTTTGATAGAAACATCTTCAATGTCTCATACGTCATAAAGACAATGCCCACGCTTGGTATAACCTTGTAGTACTCAGGCAAAATGCCTCTGTACAAACCTCGTAGTCCTTCATTCCGAACTATGTGCTTAAATGTCCCAAATAAACTGGTATTATAGACAAGTGCTCGACCACCAGCTCCTTCCAACTGCATCCTGCGCCTTACAAGATCCAAAGGAAATGTTGCTGCATGTTGCAAGAGACAACAATTAAGCAAAAAGTAAAGTAAGAATGGTTCATACCAAATGAAGAAATAGCTATCTGATCTTATGATAGCTTCTGCCATGACTTCTTTGGAAGGAGAAACTGATATTCACAATAACTGACAAAATTATATGCTTTCTAAGAAAATAAGTTAACTAAAGTACCTAACTCGTTCATGTGTATCACATGAGGGAGCTTGTTCATCGTGCATGAATATCAGTATACACCTAATTACACCACATCCAAGTCACCAGGCATGCAAATTCTAGCAGCACAAAGTTTATGCCAACACAAGCAATCATATGATTAAGGGCCTGTTTGGGGTGGCAGCAAGTTTTCAGTTTAGTTTTCAAATGAAAATATCAAAACAAAATGTGCTTGATTAGATTGGACCTGAAATGACTTAATTTGGAAATACTATTAGCTCATCTTTTAAAATTAAAATAATTTTGATTTCTGGTTTTGTTATAGAAGCAAAGCACGGCCATAACAGTAGTATTTCGTCCCTCCCCTCAACACTATCATCACCATTTTCACCAACATCATTGTCAATGTCGCTGTAGTCACAAACAGTGCAGCTGCTAAGACTGCCATTACCGTCACCCCCATCAAAAACAAAGTTTGAAATAGCAAGCCATTATTTGTGATTTGGATTTGATATTAGTATATTAAAAGTATAAAACCTGAAAAGTTAAAAACAATTAAAAACTAGTATTTGTTTTAAAATAAAAAAAATTAAACTAACAATCAAACAATATAGGACCTAAACAGATCTATTCAAGCGTATCATTAATGAACATTATTTTCCCAAAGAAAATGGCATGTATCACATCTGGAACAGCATATGCAGTCTTAACTCAAAAAACCACATTTAAAAGAAACACCTGAGAATTGAAAAACTGATATTGGATACAAAAACCGTCAATAAACACCTACCTGTTGACGATGCAATTCCTGAAAGACTGCCACATGCAAGACTGACCATGACAGTAGAATCATCAGGCCTAAATTAAAAAGAAACAAAATATAAATTTACAAACCATACACACCAAACACGAGGAGGTAATTCTGCATAAAGTACTTTAGTTCAACGCAAATATAAACATTCACCTTCGGGACTGCCAAAAAAAACGTAAGCCATCATAAACAGAAAAGCTTATAGCTATATTGGGCCCAACACTCTGTACCATACAAAACAAGTAGTTATGTCAGTACTTTAGTTCAACGCAAATATAGACATTCATCTACGGGACTGCCAAAAAGAACGTAAGCCATCATAAACAGAAAAACTTATAGCTATATTGGGCCCAACACTCTGTACCATACAAAACAAGTAGTTATGTCAGTTATAGCAGGATCGTAAACATAAAGAAGCTAAATAGAAGAATTGAAAATCAATCATGAGCATACCAACAATGTAGCTCCAAGTCCTTTATAGAGACCCAAGAACCCTTCTTCTCTGTAAATGGTTTTAAAAGCATGTGAGATGCCCCTGTAGTACATGGAACTTCTCTGCAGAGAAACATAGCATGTTAATCTCAATTCTCAATAAAAATAAAATCACAAACAGTAAATCTTTACAAATTGGATCAAATTCAATGAAATATTACATGCCAATTAAAATATAACCACACTATAATGCTAGCAATGGAGCTCCAAAAGTTTTCGCGACAAACTAACAAAAATGGGTACTTACCTGTGCTGCAAGTCGTGTTCTCAACAAATCCAAAGGATATGTAGCTGTAGCAGATGTTATGCCCGACAAACCACCACCTACGAAGTGCACAAAGAGATTTGCATTGGTATTTCCTTGTAGTTTCTCCCCCATAAATAAATGCAATAGCTGCAACAGAATAGATACAATGAAATTGATTCAAACTTTAGAAACTTAAGCAACAACTTTCATTCCAGACTACATACATATTATGTAAAGAGCATTGGAGGTTACATTCTTGTAGCGTTCATAAGCATAAAAGTTGACTGCAGAATAAGGGAGACGATGAGCTATCGTCACCAAATTGCCTTTCCAAAATGCTCTAAATCCTTCTTCATTGACAATACGTGAAGCCTCACCCCAAAGGCTAGGGTTGCTCAACACTGCCACATCAAATTGCATACCTTGCACCTGATAAAGTAAAGGTGTGTAAAATAGTCAAATATACATTGGCAATGAAACTAGAATGGAATTTAACCTTCATAATGTTCTGCCTCCTAGATGGCAACTCTGGTACACTAGTAAAGTTGAGCCTTGGTATTTGTAGGTTATGGATTTGAGTTCGGAAAAATATCTTTTCATATACAAGGATAAGGCTGTGTACAATGACTCTCATTTGCAATGCAATGAAACTTTATAGAAAGTGGGATGAGGTGCACAGGGCTTAACAATCAACCACACAAAACCAGAACCAGCTTGTAAAGTAAAACATGACCATGTTAACAATCTCTTAAGTCTAACTCAACCGCACAGAACTGGCTAGCAAGTGAGGTTTATACATGCTTATATACTAATATGATCATATCTCTAGACCATATGGAATCTTCAACAATTAAAACTAGTCAATTAGACCAGAAACCTAAACCCATAACCCCATTTTAACCAAATTCTCAAAATCCACATTCATGACATGCTAGGCAGCCCTAAATTCAAACATATTCATTGTACGACATTTAAACAAACCAAGAAACAAACAAACCTGAAAAAGGATGGTGAGGCGTGACAGTGGAGCAGTGCAGGTCTTGGCAAAAGCACCGGCTAATCCACCAGCGAGAAGCTGAGACACCGTTCCCACTTGCGCTTGCTGGTTCTTCTGCTGCAACAATTTCACATTGTTCCCATGCCCGCCTTCAACCGCCACAC